TGGAGCACTGTTGGTACCCAATAAATCTTTGTTAGATCAATCAATGGACAAATGAATGCATCTATAAGTGTATTTAATAAGACAACTTTTTATTTTTATTTTTTTTTAATGTTTTATTTATTTCTAGGAGAGAGAGAGAGAGACAGTGTGAGCAGGGGAGGGTCAGAGAGAGAGGGAGTCACAGACTGAAACAGGCTCCAGGCTCTGAGCTGGCAGTCAGCACAGAGCCCGATGCGGGGCTCGAACCCACGAACCGCGAGATCATGACCTAAGCGAAAGTCAGACGCTCAACCGACTAAGCCACCCAGGCACCCCGAATAAGACAACTTTTTAAATGTACAATGATATAAAAGTATATGCTGCATAAAGAAAAGATAAAATAAATCCAATTTTAACATTACAACATTTTATTCTAAGGCTATGAGTGGCAGAGATTTATATATTGTTGAATATATATATATATGGTATAGAATATGTAAATCTAAGTACGACATATGTAGATTTTGATGGATTTTAATCCTTATAGTAAGTCTGTGGCATGGTTTCTGTGGGCTCTGTTTTACCGATTAGGAAACAAAGACTCAAATAATTTATGTACTTAACCTTAAGCATAGTTTTCAGTGATAAAGTGAAAGTGAACTGTTATTTCTGTATTTCAAAAGTGGGGTTTTTGTGTAAACCAATTAAATAGGACTTTTTTTTTTTGGTATGGGAGTGTCTAATGTACTGAATTTAAATATAAAGAAAAAAATGAAGCAATTTTGATAGCTAAGGAAAATCTAGAGTTTAAGAATGAATTTTTAGGGGCGCCTGGGTGGCTTAGTCGGTTAAGTGTCCGACTTTCGCTTAGGTCATGATCTCGTGGTTCATGGTTTCGAGCCCCACATCGGGCTCTGTGCTGACTGCCAGCTCAGAGCTTGGAGCCTGTTTCAGAGTCTGTGACTACCTCTCTCTCTGACCCTCCCTTGCTCACGCTCTCTCTCTCTCTCCTAGAAATAAATAAAAGATTTAAAAAATTTTAAAAAAAGAATGAATTTTTAATTTTATAATTGCTAGAAATATGACTTCTAAATTTCAGATTCAAAAGTCCCTTTGAATTTCATTTTAACCTGAGAATCTTTAACTCATGAAAACATTCAAAAACTAGAACACTATTATCTGCTCTTTCTAACAAAGAAAGCAGGAAGTACCATTTTAAAAAGTCAAGTCAAAGAAATATTCACACCGCATTTAGGAATCCATAAATCCTTAATTTTTTATCTTTTTAAAAAATGAGTTTGCTTTTATGGAAATGAAGTAACCACTAAATGCCAAATTGATTTCTACATGGTTTACTGTTGATTTATTTTTAATAATTGTTTCATCTTCTGAAAAGCTCATGCCAAAAATGTGGAAAATGCATTTTCTAATAAATTATATAGAAATAAAGTATATTTGGATACTTTCTACATTATGTACTTTCCAGAACAATTTATGCTTAAACTTAGACTCTTGTAAATTGGTAAGAACTGTCCAGATTATTTGTTTTATCAAGTCTCAGTGCTTCTGGAAAACCCCCTTAAACCATGAGCAGCCTTTCAGCAGCACAGAGGAAGGGCACCAGGCACGCGTGCACAGACCACTCACTCGGAGCAAACGCGCTTTGCTAAAGTGTGACCTACATTCTTTTCTTCAGAAGTGTCCAGGCCAGGAAACTAAAGAGGGTTGCTGAGCTTGGAAAATGGTGGATCCAAGCACAACAGATAGTCAGAAAACGGAGAGAAACGCCAGTTTCGAAGAGGAGCCCACCAGAGAGCAATTCGGGAGAACAAAGTATCGGCCGCTCCACAAGGAGATGAAAGAGAAGAGAATAATTGTTCCACTGGGGACGCCAGATGGTCTAGTACCAAGGTGCTCAGGTATGTTTGTGCCATGGAACCCTTCCTCTGTGAGCTGTCCTGACCACACGAAACACGGGCAAGAGAGGAAACTGGTTTTTCTCTCCCTCCTCCGTCCCCCCCATCCTTCCTCCCTTCTTCCTCTCCTTTCTCTCTAGACTAAGTTGTTTTCTACGCTCGAGCTTCTAACCTTCCGTTGTTATTTATTGCCCATTGATGTCAGGCTCTATGGATGGAAAGTACCATCCTCCATCAAGCTCGGCCTCTAGATTTCCTCCAGATCATCTCATATCTACACTCTAAAACACAGCCATGATTCACATGGGCGAGTAGTTACTTGCATACACACAGCAGATTCCAAACAGCAAATGCAGGACTGAGGGAAACAACAAATCAGCATGAGGCACCACAGTCACAACTGCAGCCGAGGATGCACTAATGAATGCCCAGGTCGGTGGGGAGAACTCCGGAGAAACAGGATATTTGCATAACCTCAAGTATCTCCCGGCAAATAGTTCCTAAATGCTGTTGTAATTCTAACGTTTGTCCCCACATCCCTCTCCCTTGTCTCCAGGAGGTGGAGCCTCACGCAGTGACTCCAACAAACAGAACTTGGAGAAGGAAACAAACACCGTGAGTCTACGCCCCCTTCGCCAGTGAGGTCGCCAGCACCACGCATCTGCAGAGTTGATTCTCTGTATGCTGAACACTGCTCCGTGAGAAGGGCTGTCTGCACTTCTGAGGGTTTCTTCCCCCAACACAAACCTTGGTCCAGCGAGAAGACAGCAGACATATCCAAACTGTGGGATGTCTCAAAACCTCAGACCAGCACTGCCCCACACTGTCAGGGTCATCAAAAACAGAGGGGGTCTCATGAGAAATCATCACAAATCAAAGGAAACCCAATGACTGAACACCTGTAATGAGTGGACTGGTCTCTGGAACATCAAAAGAACATCAGTGAGGAAGTGATGTGGTCCTAGGTCTGCAGTTTAGAGCTCTAGACAACGTTAGTTCCTTAGTGTTGATCAATGGACTGTGGTCAGGTGAGGTGTTAACATCATGAGGGAATGTGGTATATCCATACAATGGAATACTATTTAGCCTTAAAAAGGAAAGAAATTCTGGCACATTCTACAGCACGGATGAACCTGGAGGATATTACGCTAAGAGAAATAAGCCAGACACACACAGACACACGCACACACACACGGACACACACACAAATACTATATGATTCTGCTTATATGAGATACCTAGTGTTTAGATTTGTGTAACAGAAAGTAGCATCCTGTACACCAGTGGTTGGGGGGTTTGGGAGAAAGGAATGGAGGGTGTCTTTTAATGGGTTCAGAGCTTCAGTTTTGCAAGAGGAAAAATGTCTACAGATGTCTTATACTATAATGTACCTTTAGTCAACATTACTGAAGGGTACACTCAACAGGGGTACAGACAGTGAATTTACATTGTGTTCTTTTTTATGACACACAAATTAAAACAAAAAAGAGAGTATCCCATGAACCGTGAGATCATGACCTGAACCGAAGTTGGACGCTTAACTGACTGAGCCACCCAGGCTCCCCTCTCTTTCCAAGTTTAAAAAGTTCTGCAGTTCTCTTGTTCTCCTCCAGAGCTCTATACCGTACACGATATACAAATACAAATCTTGGAGATAAAGTGTCCCACCTTCTCAGTAGGAAGAAGAACACATTGTCTGCCTTGGGTTCCTGTTCAGTCCTTTATGTTCCTGAATAATGACCGCAGCAAAATACTCTTTATCTGTGCTCGGTCTGCAGCTGCATCTTGTGTTCGGTGCTTTGGGGATGTGCTGTTCTCTTCAACAACGCTGACTCTGCCTTCTTGTGAACAGACTGTCACACCTGCGGCACCTCCCGTGCTGATGCGTGTTCCAGACGTTTCCTGTTTTTCCTCGTTGCTCTGTGGTCCTTCTTTTGCTATGGCCAGCGCACCCTTCCATCTCCAATCCCATCACCCAAGGAGGCATGGACTCTAATGGGTTCCTCCTTTGTCTTTTTCTTTCTTTCTTTTTAATGTTTACTCATTTTTGAGAGAGACAGAGACACTGTGAGCAGGGGAGGGGCAGAGGGAGAAGGAGACGGAGAATCTGAAGCAGGCTCCAGGCTCCGAGCTGTCAGCACAGAGCCCGACGCGGGGCTCAAACTCATAAACCATGAGATCGTGACCTGAGCTGAAGTCAGACATTCAACCGACGGAGCTGCCCAGAGGCCCCAGGGTTTCTCCTTTTTGAAGGAAGATGTGTAATCTGGAATCACCAGCAGCTTTCAGTGCTTTGGGGCATATAAATGACAGCAATGCAGATACAACATGAAAATAACCATGTATTTCCTACATGCCCACAAAGAAATAACCACAAAGAGACCAAAGTGTCGGTAGTTGGGCTAGCTAAATAAAACCATGCCATCTTCCTGTTTCTCCCACGTATTGAATTTTCGAATTGCTGACTGTTTGGTGTCCGGGAGCTAGGGTGCTCCCCCTGCCTGTCCTCGGGAGCTGGCGCTGATGTCCCACCAGGGCCTGGGGGTGACCTGGGGCTGTGGGAGTCCTTCCCTCGCGTGGCCAGCGGGTAGCCAGTTCCGTACACCTGACTGCCTTGGTCGCCCTGCACACTCCTGGTGGCTGCCATGTCCACCTGTGTTTGGTCACCGTCAGGACACAGGTGGTGTCCCCTACCACCCCTCGTCCCACGACCTCTCCATCCCACTCAAATCCTAGCCAGCCTCCTCGGGAGCCACAGCAGTCTTCCTAACAGGAAAATTTGGTCTGGTCAATCCCCTTCTTCAAATGTCCCTCCGAGGTCCCTTAATCTTTTCCCAGGACTGGCGGAGACACCCACATGTTCCCCCTAAGCTAGTAATCTTGCCGCCTCACCTCTGTGTCCTGTGAAATCGCTCAGCATCTGCTTAATGAGGGCGAGAGAAACCGTGGCTGGTTTTTGTTTTTGTTTTTGCTTTTGTTTTTTTAACAAAGATCATTGCTGCTCCGAATACAGTAAGGGATTCATGACGCACACGGAATGTTAGCACAGTGATCATCTTACGCTGAACTGTGTGTTCTTCTGTAGCATTCCTCTACTCAGCACAGCACCCACCACCTTTCTTTAGTGTCCCGTTTTAGATTTTATTTTCATCCGTGGCATGCCCTGCAGCTGTGCAAACGAGGCATCACCCAGATGCTGCAGACACCTCGGTCTGTGCTGGCCGTGGCTGGGTTGGTAAAGTGGACACCGGGGGCTGCTATGCCAGGTCACTGCTTTGCGTGTCCGCACGTTTCATCAGCTTTGCACGGCATGCAATGGAGGAAACTGGAATGAGTTGGCACCTGTCCCCACCTTCTCCCGAAGATTGTTTCCCGGAGCAGCTGCCACACTGGCCCCCCTGTAATCTGCCTGCAGCCTTTGGGATAAGCCCCGACTCCTGAGCGGGGAATGAGCCAGCTTCGTGTCTTCCCGGCTTTCCTGCACCCGTTGTGCTCTGCCTGAGGCCTCAACGAGACCCACGCGCTCAAGCTCCTGCCACAGCCGCCCTCACCGGAGCCCTGATCCATCCTGATGAGTCCTGAGAATGTCCCACTAATGCTGCGTAACCCAGGGAGGCTTAGTGGCAGGGCCACATCATGACACGTGCAGAGGGGAGGTGACCAGCAAGGAGCGGGGATGCACAGCATCAATGCTGCAGGGAGCTTGGCCATGAGTACCCTGCACCCTCCTCCTCCCGCCCCCACGTCTCCTGCCCCCATCTCCCCTGGGGACGCCCCCGTGGCTGAGGACAGCACAGGACGGAGAAGGAGGTGGAGTCTATCTGCAGTGCAAACATCACCATCACGTTTCACATCCAGTGTAATCTCCGTGACACCTGTTGTGTTTCCACCAGCAGCAAGCACCCTCTCCACGCCCTTTCTGTCACTGCAGCTTATGCAGTGGGCTCTGCGATCTCTCCCTTGTCAGCCTTCTTCCTGCATGGTAAGTTCCTGGAGGGGAGGGCTGTGCCTTGTGAACCCTTGGCTTTCAGGGTCCCTGATCTAGTCCCGTGCCATCAGACCACTGCTTCAGGGCCTGGGGCCCCCATATTTGAAGCTAGAAAAGACTACACCGTAAAGTGGATATTTTAATAGAAGCGAAGGAATTCTTTACTGTAAAAAAAAAACAGGTTTGAAAACAAGCTTTATGAGCTATCATAGAAAAGTACCAAAAATAATTTGTATATAGAATCACTTCTTTTGTTGCTGAAAATTACTTTCACACACCCCCCTTCTTAATATTTCAGATCCATACGGGATGCTCACCTCTTACCACTCTGTGCCCATGTATTATTCTCAACAAATAGTTCCCCACGTTTCTTCCCATTGAGTCTAGACTGGCTTACTTCCTGGCTCCTTTATGGTGTATCCACATGGCCTCATATGATGAAATTCATTATGATTCATTAAATTTGCTCATAAAAAGAGCTTGATATCCCCTGGGGCAAGTTCATTAAAGAGAATCTCTTTGGTTCAATTATGAATCATTTTTCCCCGTATCCAAAGGCATCTCCTAAGATGTAACCATGGGTGAGGGGGCCTCACGTGGCAGATCTGGGAATCCAGCAGCCAAAAATGCAGGGCCTGTGCAGCAATTTCTGAATAAAAATATCACCGTGGGAGAGGGAGCACCATATGGCTGTCTGGTGGTGCTCTGTGCTCCACGTCAACTGAATTTCCAAGGACTGACTTGCACAGAAGGTAATTATGCCCTTGCACACAGTGCAGGGATGTACCACGCGGGGAGCCTGAGACGCTGGTGCCGCACTTGCCCGTAGATCAGCCGTGTCTGCTCTGTTATCGCTCCTTGAAGCATTGTGGACACTTCCCTCCTGAAAGCCGTCTGTTTGGAAGATAACAATTTAGATCTAAGACATTTCTCCTGGAGCCCTGTTTCCTCCACAATGAAAGGGACTCCCCCCTTTGGGCAGGTGTTTTCGCTGCTCTTTCCATCTCATGGTCTGTCCACACACAGAGAGTGAGGAGGGACACTTGCCGGGTTGCTTCCCGGAGGGGTGTGGCGGTGCCATGAATCCTGGTTTCTACAAGCCGCATGTCCACCGAATGGGAAGGAGGAGCTGGTTTGGGGACACGCTTCACGAGAGGCTCTCTGGGTGCGACGCGCATGCCATTTCTGCGGCTCGTCTCCACTCCAGACGATGCGTAGCCCTGATGATGTTTTCACACTCTGTGGAAAACGTGCCGTCTGCCCCTTGCCAAATGTGTCGCATTACTGAATCAGAAGGTTATTTATTCATCCGATTTAGCGGCCTGTGGCTGCCAGCCCCACGGCAGGATGCTGCAGCGGAGGTGGGGGGCCGTGTGCTGGGGGGGGGGGGGCAGACGGGCACCAGAGATGCTGTTCAGAGAGACAGGTGCGGGTGCCGGATGTGGGGCCAGAGCCCCAGGGCGGTGAGCGCTGCCCCCTCGAGGCGCCGAGCAGAGGGCCTGGGAGGGAACAGCCCCTTCCCGCTCTTCTGTCTGCTCTTCTGTCTCTGCTCAATGTGGTGAGGTGGGGGGGGGGGTGCATCCTCTGTCTTCCCAGCTCAGATCTGCGGCCCAGGTAGAAAAGGCCACAGCCGGAGAGGCTGGGAGGGGGTTGGTTAATAATTCAGCCCTAGTTGCAGACTTCGAGTGCAGCAAAAGTGGAATAAATGGCCAAGAGACCTCACCAGAAAGACGCGTCAGTAAGAGCCATGCGAGGACCTCGCTGTGACACCATCTCAGGGCTTGCGTCACGGGGCCGGCCCCGCTCCTCCTAAAAATGAGTTACCTATACGTGTTTTCTAAATAAATTAAGCTATTTTCTCTCTTAATATTCTTTACAAAAAATCTAACAGCTTTATTGAGATATCACTGACCTATAAAATTGTATGTATTTAAGGTATAAAACGTGGTATTTGATAATTGCATATAATGTGACATGATCACCACAAGGAGATAATTAACACACCCATTACCTCACATCGTTACCGTGTGTGTGTGTGTGTGTGTGTGTGTGTGTGTGTGTGTTATAAGAAGACTCCACTTAAGGTCTTCAAGCACACACTTAGTGTTGTTAACTGGAGTCACCAGGCAGGACGTTACGTCCAGAACTTACTACGTGACACCCGGGATTCTGTCCCCATTTCCCCACCCTCAGCCCCGGACTCTCTGCTTCGGGGCCTTTGTTCCAGACCCGCCTCTAAGCGAGATCCTGCAGTGTTAGCGCTTCTGCGTCTGGCTTACTTCACTCGGCCTCATGTCCTCTGGCTCTGCTCACACTGTCACAAGTGACAGGATTTTCTTGTTTTTTAACCTTTAATAAACCTTGAGATTGTGAAATGAGAGGGTTGGGGCCGAGGAATGATTATCTTTGATCCGATGAACTTTTATAGATGCTATTGCTGTCATTCCCTTGGCCAGTCCCTTGGCCAGCTTGTGAGGTGATTAATTTTTACACTCTGCATTCAGAAATAATTACAGAGTAAGAGGAAGTTGTAAAAATAGTTTTGGACACTCTCAGGTACCCTTGACCCACCTTCTCCCCAGCCATGACATAATCTTACAAGAGTGCAGTTCAAGTTCAAACACGGGTCAGTGACACGGCTGATGGCTGGGAGTCAGACCAGGAAAACCTTATGCACTGCCCCCCATTTTCACATGTGCGCACGTGTGTGGTGGGGACGGCCATGCAGCTTTATGCCATGAACGGATTTCTGTACTCACCGCCCTGATCAAACTGCGGAGTCTTTTCACGCTCTGCACAGAAGAGCTCTCACTAGCCGCCCCTTGGCCCTTGGTCCCAGAACCCAGCATCCCCTCCCCCCGGTCCCTCGGCAACCACTAACTTCTTCTCCATCTCTAGGGCCATTGTGAGAGTGTTTACAAAACAGGACCGTGCAGCACGGCACCTTTGGAGGTTGACATTTTCCACCGAGCATAATGCCTTAGGGTCCGTCCAGGCTGTTGTGTGTATCCCCGTGTTCCTTTTTAGTGCTAACCAGCATTCCAACCAAGGAGGGGCCACAGTTGGGTAAACTTTCACGCGCTGAGAAAAACTGAGGTTGCTTCTAGTTGCTGTTGGTGTTGTTTTCTATTATGGAGAAAACTGCCATCAGCCTCCATGGATAGGTATTTTGTGCCCGGAAGTTTTGGTTTCCCCGGGGCAGATGCCCAAGAGCAGAATTGCTGGGTTGTAGGGATCGGGCCTCAGGTTACAGGGAAGCGCCTCCCAGAGTAGCCACACCAGGGTCCTTCCAGCAGCACTGAGCGAGGGGTCAGCCTCTCTGCATCCTCGCCAGAGCTTGGTGCTACAACACCTGCTATTTGAGGTGTCCTCCTCGGTCACAACGAGTGGCATCTCACTGTGCTCTCCGTTTGTATGTCCCTAGAGGCTAATGGTGTCAAGCACCATTTCATGTGCCTATTTACCAGCACTATCTCCTGTGTACATCTTTGCCTGCTTCCTTACTGAGTTATTTGTAATTTTACTGCCGAGACTTAACTATGAGGCTTTACTTCGTACCTTCTGGATACATTATTTCATGCATTCTCTCTCGGGTATGGGTACGTGGTTTGCAAACTGTATCCCCCCAGCCCGAGTTTTATCTCAGCATGAAAGTTTTTAATGTTGATGATATCCACTTTATCAGTTTTGGGGGGGGGGGAGTTTCATGCTGTGTAGTCAGGCCTAAAAGCTCTGTCCCCAGACCTGGATTCTGACGACAATATTCTATTTTTATTTCTTCAGGTCTTACAGTTTTATGTTTACACTTAAGTCAATAATCCATTGAAAAAAATGTTTTATGCAATGTGAAGTTCGAGGCAAGCTCCCCCCCCATGTGTACGTAATAGTTCCAGCACTATTTTTTCAGTGTCTTATCATTTTATTTTATTTTAAAATTTTATCTATTTATTTGTTTTTTAATTTACATCCGAGTTAGTTAGCTTATGGTGCGATAACGATTTCAGGAATAGATTCCAGTAGTTCATCTCCTAAGTACAACACCCAGTGCACATCCCAACAAGTGTCCTCCTTAATGCCCCTCACCCATTTAGCCCACCTCCCCTCCCACAAACCCTCCAGAAACCCTCAGATTGTTTTCTGTATTTAACAGTCTCTCATGTTTTGTCTCCCTCCTTGTTTTTATATTATTTTTGCTTCCTTTCCCTTATGTTCATCTGTTTTGTATCTTATAAGTGAAATCATATGATATTTGTCTGTCTCTGACTAATTTCACTTAGCCGTGTACCCTCTAGTTCTATTCACATTGTTGCAAATGGCAAGATTTCATTCTTTTTGATTGCTGAGTAATACTCCATTATATATATATACACTACATCTTCTTTATCCATTCATCCGTCAATGGACATTTGGGATCTTTCCAGACTTTGGCTATAGTCATTAGTGATGTATAAACACTGGGGTGCATGTGCTCCTTCAAGTCTATAGTTTTGTATCCCTTGGATAAATATCTAGTAGTGCAACTGCTGGGTCATAAGGTAGTTCTATTTTTAACTTCTTGAGGAAGCTTCACACTGTTTCTTAGAGCACCTGCACCAGTTTGCATTCCCACTAGCAGTGCAAAAGAGAGCCTCTTTCTCCACATCCTCGCCAACCTCTGTAGTTGCCTGAGTTGTTAATTTTAGCCATTCTGACTGGTGGAAAGTGGTATCTCATTGTGGTTTTGATTTGTATTTCCCTGATGATGAGTGATGTTGACCATTCTTTCATGTGTCTGTTAGCCATCTGGACGTTTTCTTTGGAAAAATGTCTATTCGTGTCTTTTGCCCATCTTTTCACTGGATTATTTGATTTTGGGGTGTTAAGTTTGATAAGTTCTTTAGAGATTTTGGATACCAACCCTTTATCTGATATGTCATTTGTAAATATCTTCTCCCATTCCATCAGTTGCCTTTAGTTTTGCTGATTGTTTCCTTCACTGTCCAGCACCATTCTGTTTTAATTACAGTAAAAAAAAAAAAAAACACATGACATAAAATTCAACCATCTTTCCATTTTCAGGTGTGAAGTTCAGTGGTACTGAGCACATTCACATAGATGTGCAGCTGCCCCCACTGTCTGCACAATACTTTCATCTTCCCAAACTGAAACTCTGTGCCCCTTGAAGAAAGTGTTCCCCATTTCCTCCACCTCCCAGCCTGGGGTGGAGACAGTTCCATTTTCTGTCTCTAAGAATGTGACTGCTCAGGAATCTCATAGGGGTGGAAACATACAGTATTTTCCCCATTGTGACTTGCATACTTTACCCAGCATAATGTCCTCCAAGTTTAGCCATATTGTAGCATATGTCAGAATGTCCTTCTTTCTTAACACTGAATAATATTCCATTGTGTGTATGGACCCCATTTTCTTTATCCAAAAGAATAGAACGAAGGGTCTGGAAGAGATATTTGCATACCCGTGTTTATAGCAGCATCACTCAC